TTAAGGTTGCCTGAGCTCCTGGACTGTCATCTTGACTACAAAGAACAAGAAGAGATTCTAAGCCAAAAACTGCATCTTGCTCCAAAGGCAGAAGATCTAAGAAAAGAAAAACAGAGTTAGTTCCCTGTTACATTTTCCGACCATAACTGGTGTAATGCTTGCACTGGTGGTGCAGTCATGGGAGATGAGTATCTTTCTAATACTTCTGCCTTAACTTGTTTTGATTAGAAACAATACTGCCATTTCATGTCTCAGGTAACTATTCAGCAGTCACACCAACTGTGACATTTGTAGAGTGTGCATAAGTCTCCGGACTAAGACTTCTAGATGACTTGTTATCCATTTGCAACAGGCTTTGTGCTAAGAGTTTTCAAAGGCTGATAGACAATTCACTAGTCTTACAGCAAAGGTAAGACAAGCATTTATTTATTAAGAGTTCTACTGTGCCCATTAATCTTCTCTGAATTAGATGAAGATGGAATCTTCTCAACCATTCATAAAATCCTGCAGAATATTTTCTACTAGGTTATAGTTCCCATTCTCCCTAACCAGCATGAAGGATCAGACAGATTTACAGGCAGGTTCACAGACAAAACCAGTTAATACGTGTTAAGTGCATAAGCCTGACCGTAAACAGACACATTTCATTGTCCTTGCTTTCATTTACCTTTTTCCTGACAAGAGGCTGATATATTAGTCAGAATTCTCACACCATGAGCTGCAATGCCACGGTTATTATGGTAACAGCACTCCTGTGCTAGTTTTACTAAATCAAATGATCTCGCAGTTGTAGCTGCTGTTCCTAAATAAAGACAAGGCAAACAGGACATAAAACAGCACACTCCATAATTACACTACAGTGTAATTTTCAAGTACATTTCTGAAAAAAATCTCTACTGACTTAGGATTAATTTTTTTTCCCATATGTTTAAAGGACAAGATGAAAACACATCTTTCCCTCTCTCCACACACAAACACAGGCTCCCCCTCCATTCCTGAACACTATACAAGTTAGGCTTACATGAGAAAGAATATTTGGGTCTGAAGGCTGGTGTTTCAGGGCCTCAGAAATATTATATCTGATTAAAAAAAGCTAGTGAGCATATTAATTATTAAGACATTGCAGAATGACTGAAGGGGATGTACTATTTTTCTCCATTTCTGCAGGCCATGTAGTTGGGCTCACAATATTCATTAGGGCAGTCTGGTTTTCAAGAGGAAAAAAGAAAACAGTATGATCACCATTTTAAGAACAAGATACCTTGAATCACTTTAAAATGTCTACTCTGTTTCTCCAGAATATAGTCACAAGGAAGAAAGGTTCACCTGGTACTGAAGTAGGCCGTTCCCACAAGGGTGGCATAGCTTCACTGTGCCAGGGTAACATGCCAGCCCACTCACATCATTAAGTCTGCATGCTACTCAAAAACTATGCAAATCCATGGTTTCAAAGCACCTTAAGCAGAATGCACATCAGCCACTTGAGAGGCATTACATTTCCCCATTTTATGAAGAAAAGTTGAAGACCCGAAGGTAAAAAACCCTTTCATATAGCATATTACCCACAAAACCCAGAACAAAATCTTAGACCATAACTTATTCATGGGTATACAGTATCCCATTTTAAGTTTACATATGGTGAACACAGTCTGACCCTCAGCTAATGTTCTGAAGTTCAAAAAAAATTTAAGAATAAGCTACAAAGTGTTTGGATGAAACTGATTATCAGTAGCTAGCCAACCCATTAGAAATACCAAAGATAATCATCTAATCTAGTTTTCTTACCTGGAGCACTGCTGAAGTACTGTTTAATGGCAATGGTCCCCGATAACGTGGAAAGAACAGACAGCATGCCCAGTTTCAAGCTGTCATAAGGAGTGTGAAGAGCAGATTCACAGAGTGCCTACAAATTAGCAGGAGAAAAGATACAGAGGGAAGGAAGTTCCGTGAGCTATCTGCATTAAGCATATAGTTGCACTTGTCTGAAAAGCTTTGAGAGTAAAGATTTTTCAACAGAAATTGCTATATTGAAATCAAAAGTTAGAAGTCATGCCCGGAAGTATCTGTTTTACTAGACTGAGGACATGGCTTGCAGAAAACTGACAATGGGTCTCATATGCTAGGCAACACCAATTTCAAGTCATTTATTAATTAAAAAACAGTGGCAAAAATAATATCAGGTCTCACTGATGACATATCGCAAAAAAATTTAAGACAGTTCTCCAGTCTCAGAGACATACTGATTATTTTGCCTTATCACAATCTGCAGGGTTTTATGTAAGTATATGTCTCTGAAGAGCAAAGTTTCAAGTGTCATTTTCTTTAATAGTCCTGGTGTCCAACAGAATGCAGTCTAAGTTTCTTGATAAACATCTCAGAGTGTATTTTATTTTTTAACTCATTTATAGTAGAGCTCCTGTCATATTTTTGTGCCCTTTGCCAGATCTCCTCAGGCCCCATCACATCTAGATTGGAATAACTCTTAAAATTCACATTGTTCTCAGATTTATTATGCCAACACAGTCCACAACTTAGTCATTCACTGGCTTTGGAGGCGTTTTTAGTTAACATGAGAGAAAGCAATACGAGAGACAAATGGAAAATGTTAAGTATATTCTGCCTCAGAGAGGGCCAAAGCTGCATGATAACATCCAGTAACTGAATAAAGAAAACCAACAGAGAATTAGTTCCACAGAACAAATAAAAATCCCAAATAGTGTTCTTATCAGGCATATGCCTTACACCATGTTCTTGCATGGTGTAAGGGTTAAATTCTAAATCACCTTGTCATTTGTACCAATGTAGTATTTTGCTAATCCACTGAATAAGCATGGCATCAACATACAGAAGAAAATACAATGATGAGGGTTCAAAATGAGTCTTGACGTCTCCCAAGACACTGATGTTTTAGTCCAGTGCTACTAGATCACCACTCTCAGAGCGTATTTGAAACAGTAACTATGAAGAATGTGAGGAGCACAGAGGAATTAGCTGGATGGACTGCAGACTGCTTGTTACCTTCACAGTCGGCAAGAGGACTGCTCTATGCATCAAGAGCAACTGCTTCTAAAGCTGATGTCTGGAAGTCAGTGAAGTCTCCACAGTTCAAAGACAAAGCCTGCTATCTGACCTACACAGACAGACCCAAAATGCTGAAAAAGTTAACGCTGCTGAAACTCTTGCTGGTAAAAAGTTACAAAAAGCAGGTTTTGCCATGACAAAAGGAAGGTCTGTTCCGGTCCCTGTTGTATAAACATTACTAAGTCATTTAAACATACAGAAAAGAGTTGCCCAACTCAAAATGTTGACTATGTATTTTGGAAGTCAGAAAAACCCTCACTACTACTGCCTGCCATTCAGCAAGCAGTAACAAGCTTCAGTCAATTAATTTTGTTCTAACCCAGTCACTGGTTTAGTTCCAACATCAGTGGAACTTTTTCCTATGCATTTCAACCATCAGGACACTTACTTTAAGACACTACATAATGATGAAAGGCATGTTATCAATGTCTCTCACTTGTACTGAGATAAATTCCAACCAGGTGTAATGGTATAAAGTGGCATTTTGACTGCAAAGAATCCATAAACCATTAAAGGAATTCCTTAAAATTCCTAAAAGGAAATAAATTTCTGGTATTAATCCATTATGAAGCACGCCAAATCATTTTATCTAAGAATTGGAGACAAAGCAAAACATGCTTTATTTCTCACATGATTAACAAAAATCCGCATAATTTTTCTTCCCACCTGCCTGATGCTCCAACAGCACATAGCAAAAGTAGCTTCCAAGACTAGCAAAAACAAAGAAAAAAGACCCAGAAAAGTAGAGCTATAAGCCTGTGCCATAAAGTTCTTGAAACATTTACTTTCCCATTAGAATCTTAATCTAATGTGAAGTTATTTTCTATAGCCATTTCTACCAGAAAAAGGGAAAGACAAGGAGAAAAAAAATGGTCATATACAACTGCAATTGGAAGAAAGCAGCAATGCTATCTGCAACATAACAACTGCTTCCCCAAATAACACAGATGGACTATAAACACCTTCTAGGGTCTCACTGATACAACAGGAGTCACAAGGATACTACTGAAAATGAGCCATTAATCCTAAGAAATGAAGTCAAAATTACATTTGTCCTTTCAAGTATACCTTGCTAGATGACATGCTTTGAAAAATCCCAGAGAGACTCTCTGTGTTTATGAGAGCATTATACGCTCAGTATCATAAGATTAATGTAAACATTCATCTCTCATGTCTATTATCTTCGATGAGTTTTTCAGATGGAAAAGTTATTTCCTTACTGTAAAAAGGCCTACTACAAGACACATGCCTTTCCTCAGTTATAATACTTCACCTGTTCATTAATCCTTGGCTACTCTGCTTGGCAGAGTAACCTAACTTAAGGCTATGGAGATGTATGTTCTTCCTTTCTTTACCTCCCAAACTGTTCTTCTGCAAAGAATTCTAGAATTATTTGCAAAGTTTCATAATAAACTTTAACTTAAAAACATATAAACCTGAATATTTTCTCTGCTCCATGTATGTGGTGTCTTGTTGGCCAACAGCTTTAGATCTTGGATTGCAAGCCTCTTCACAGCCTTCCTGGGGTCATTCTTCAAGTACTGCAACAAAAGCTGGATCTGCAACAAAGTAAATCCATTGTTAAGAGAAGGATGCTACTAGAAGGAAGTCTCTTCAAAACTACTTGTGAAGAAATTTTGAGCATACTCAGCCAAAACTAACTTACCTTATCTGCCTGACTGCTTGCCCCATGGAAAAGCCCCTACTTAGGCTGTGATGCCATGGCAAGCTAAAACAGCCCGAGAGCCAATTTCTACCATCCTGCTCTCCTTGTTCATGCACCCTTCTCTACATCACCCTGCATACCTGAGAAGCTTTGAGACCTGTTTCGGTACTCACAGAAATACCATAAAACATCCCTGAGAGTCTCAGTAAACATTCTATACTGTTGCGATTATGCTACTAGCAAGTATTCTAGGCATTTGATGCGAATTCGGGTGTCTGCATGATCTGCAGTTTACAGATAGCAACACATACACACCTTGTATGTCTCAGTAGTTGCCAAAAACCACCCCCAAAAACCAACCAAACCAATCCCTACCCACCCCCTCCAAAGCATCTATCTCAAATTAAGTGACACTTAACTACATGTCCTTTGTTGTGTTCATTTCCTGCAAATTTAGAGATGGAATAGCCAGCACATGAAGAGGCATGAACATGCAGGCCATGGCTTTGCTCTCCATCCCCACGTTGGCTACATCACTTTTAAGCAGTGTTGGCTGCTATGTTGCAGAAATACAGCCTAAAGCACCATGCTTACTGCCATAAAAAAAAGCACATCAAGTGTTCTAATGTTGTTTCAGTTGGCTTAGATTCAGTACTATCAAAAGCATCCTCTGAAATACAGAAATCAGCCATATCAAAAAGAAGTTCCAGACAGATCAATGCTATTAGTCTGACAGTAACAGACACCAGCCTTCCATAGCTGTACAGGATTGAAAGGAAGCAAATAATTTTCATTACTACTTTACAAGGATTAGTTAGATGAATTCTCAAATGTCACTGTGTTCAGACCTGCTATATAGATTATGTCCACAAGCACATTATCAGAACATAAAAGCATTGTATTTTTCCATCACTGCTTCCCCACAACTTGGTTTATAGTCCTAAATTATAGCAACAGATTCAAATTCCTCGGAGTTGTTCAAGAAATAAATTTTTAAATGCACTCTATGCTATTGAAATATTCATTTGCTTGCGTGCAAGGAAGGCAAAAGGCACATCCACAACCCAAGAGAATATACGGCAGTGAAAAGCAAAGCCTGGGTTCTACAGGTAAGATTGTTTTCAGAAAAAGTCAGGGTGTTTGCTTTCCGAAATGCTGATTGATCCTAGCTGATTTCAATCCCAATTGATTTACAGAAAGACAGGTTATGATCGGTAAAGAAGGGTCCCCATGTTTGATTGGGGTTATCTGGAAATGGGACCAGAAAGGGCAAAAAACACAAAAGCAGCAGCAGTTTTCAGGGTATTCTCTCTCTATAGCACATAGGAGCAACCATCCTAGCATATGCGTCATGATTTATTTTCAGTGTCAGCTAGAATCTGAGTTTTTTTTACTTTGTACTTTAAATTGAAGGAATGAATTATGAAGAATTACCTGTTTAGGAATGTCAACCAAAGAAGAAGCAGCAAGCAGAGTAAAGGTGTGCAGAGTAACAATGACCATCTTGGTAGAGGGATATGATGTTACCAGCTGCTGAAGCAGCTGCCGGGAGCTGGAGGCCAGGCTAGCATCATGATGCATGTGCTGTAGAATAGGGATCAACTTCAATTTCAAGTCCACAGGTGTGGCTAAACCTGCAACAAGGGAGAGAGACATAGGCAGAGTGTTAGTCCTTTGTACTGGGTTTTGGCAGTACCGAGGTACACAATATGTCTGCATTGCTATCTCTGCTGAATGCAGACTGCGTAGACACTTGCATTAGCTTCAAATAACTCATCTACTAGCTAGCAGCATAACCACAGCAGTATCAAGCACTTTTACGGTTCTTTGAGAAGGTTGCTCCTTGCAGGTAACACACATATTAACTCATCTGAAGCAACCCGCGATAGTCTATGTAAGCTCATTCATTGTACTATAGACGAGCTTTTATTCTTTACCAAACTGTTTTGAAAAACTTAGATTTTTAAGAGGACAAGAGCCAGACAATAGATTATCGGTTAGCTAATTTAAAAACTGGAATAATTTGAGGATAAGGGCAACAGTATTCTGATATCTGATATTTATATATGGACAATAAAGAATTCTCAAAGAAATTAAGAGCTTTTCCCTTTATCACTCAATATGCATATGTACCTTGAATCATCTCACTGATTTTATTACATATTCCTGCAGCAAAATCCCTGTAAAGAAAAGACAAAGTACCAGGTGAAATGAAAAATAAATAAATAAAAATCAACTCAACTACCAAACATTGCATTTTAACAATAAGAACTTTTACAAAAGAGTGCTCACCAAGACCTAAGTCATTTTAGAACCCCTGCATACGGGCATGATCAAATGATAAAATGGAACCTTTCAAAAACATGTCAAACTGACTAGCGGCACTACATTTAGTTGCCTAATCTAACTTCTGCAAAATAATCCATGATTAAAACTGCTATTCCACTTTGCATTCCCATATTTATGAGCTTTCCATTAGTATTCGGGGGGGGGGGGGGGGGGGGGGGGGAAGGGAAGGAAGAAATAAAGGATTTCTGTTAAACTTGTATTCAGGTTTCCTTACAATACTGTTATTGCACATAATTAAATGTCTTGCTATAAATGACATGGCTAGCACTACAGAAGAAAATACTAATTTTTGTGAATGCCAGTATCAATGGAGTTTCCATTCTCTGTAATATGAAAAAATGTAAAAAAAAAAAAATCTTACTTTGATTGTGCAGAGAAGTTGGCAGCAGCAAATATAGCAGCTTCAACTTCCACATTATCATGGGAATCCAAACTCTGACGAATACTGTGATGTGCATTCTTCCTTTCTGGAATAATAGATGCCATGCTGCCCAACATCCTACAGAAATAAATCAGAGCAAAATCAGGAAAAACAACGGTCATGAAGAAATGCAACATGAAATCAAACAGAAATGTAAAAGGACTGTTAAAAGACTAATTTTTTCTATAAATATGTACTCTTTCATGTCTATTAGAAACAAGGAAACACTAAAAGTAGGGATATAATTAAAAGGTAACCCATTTTTTCATGTGGCTTATGTTAATAGTTTCATAAAAATTAACTATATTTTGGTACCTTTTACCTTGAAATGGGCACAGTGAGAAACTTGTCAAGAATTCTTATAAAATTAAGAGTGCACTATGGCACTAGGAACATTGAGCATTCTTAAGGTGCGTTCATGTTCAAGTTATGATATTAATACAACAGATTTAGTGCTAAGATATACTGATGGCTACTTTCAGACACACATGAAGTACACATCATGGGATTTTAAACTAGAAATATGGTAGTCTAGGGGGGCAGAAAAAGCATTTAGAGAACTGTTTCCACCCTCCTCCCAATTAAGACTGCAGAAATAAATGACAAATGTCTGAACAGTCATAAATGTTGACCACATGCTAAGAAAGCAAAGTTTCTAGAAACTCTGTGTTACCATGATAAAGCAAGCAAATGTCTGACTTCCATCATTTGTTTTAAATGCACTCTATGCTACTGAAATGTAAGACCATCTGCTGATCTGAGATAAGGTTATTATTTGGAATAGCATAATACCTTTTGTGTAACTGCTAAAAAGGGAACAAATCGAAGTATCTACACTTTTGCTAAGAATATCTCAAAGATACTTCTCAGACATATTTAACATAATCCAATTAAAGAAAGAATGAATGCAGGATTTGCACTGATGGTAATTTTAGCAAGAATTCTATGCAAATATTTACACAAATTCCTGCCCAGACACAAAGTTTTACTTTAGCAGATCTTTCTTTCAGCCTGTTTTTTCTTACTGACACTACTTAAGGACAAAAAACAATCACCTGAAGATTTTCATACTGCTGAACCAACAGCCATTTTAACCTTTCACTTGATGCATCCTGTGAATTGATTCGTAATTTGTTTTTGCAAACTGAGTAGATCCCTGGGACCTCTAGCAATATGTCAACATAGACCTCAATACCAGTCAACCGGTGTAATCCTATGTTAGAATACTGAAGTAGAACTACAAGAAAACATGTAGATATATGGTACTCACACATTTCTGAGACACTACAGCATCAAAGCATAATCTTAAATTAAAAAAAAAAAAAAGAAAAGAAAAAAGAAATGGACATATGAGCTACTCAACCCCCTGCTAATGCCTCTCATCTTTCAATAGTGAAATCAGAAACAGTTCTAGATGGACAGAAAAATACAAAAGGAAAAAGAACAGTGCTCTCTTCACATTTGAATTCACTTGCACAGGAGTTAGAAGATGCAGTTAAGGATGGTCATGTTGGGTAGTGTTAGAGATACAGACACCAAAACAGCAGGACGGTGACATTAAAGACAGTTTAATTTACTTTTTTTTTTCCTCCATTTGATTGCTAGGAAAGCCAAAGCAATCAGTAATACAAGGACATTCCCTTAGAAGTTATTATCAGAGACCAACAAGCAGTAAACTTCTAACACAGTAATAAATGAAAACCAGGTGCAAGTGTAACAACGTTCACATAACTAAATTTTACTTAAAAGTTAACAAAAATTATTTTGACGCATAGGAAAGCACTTTCCTTTTGGTCTTGGTCAAAATATGTCCTGGTTTCAGCTGGGATAGAGTTAATTTTCTTCCTAGTAGCTGGCATAGTGCTGCGTTTTGGATTTAGTATGAGAATAATGCTGATAACACACTGATATTTTCATTGTTGCCAAGTAGTGCTTACAGTAGTCAAGCACTTTTTCAGCTTCCCATGCTCTGCCAGGTGCACAAGAAGCTGGGAGGGGGCACAGCAAAACAGCTGACCCAAACTGGCCAAAGGGCTATTCCATACCATATGATGTCATGCTTAGCATATACAGTGGGGGGAGTTGGTCAGGGGGCAGCAATCACTGCTCGGGAACTGTCTGGGTATTGGTCGACGGGTGGAGAGCAGTTGCATCACTTACTTTTCCTGAGTTTTGTTCCTTTCCCCACCCCCTCGTTCTCCTTTTTATTACAATTTTATTATTATTTTATTTCAATTATTAAACTGTTCTTATCTCAACTCACAAGTTTTCTTACTTTTGCTCTTCAGATTGCCTCCCCCATCCCACTGGGGGAGGGAGGGTGAGCGAGCAGCTGTGTGGTATGCTTGGTTGCTGACTGGGGTTAAACCACAACAATATGTCATATGCAATATAGCATATGTTGCATACAGCTACATACATCTAAGTTGTATGCATACAACAGTTGTTTTCCTTGAGAACAAAAAATTTCAGTGTTGCAAATTCCATTTTGCCTTGAGCCATCCACACTATTCTTACCATCGTAAATGGTTAATAACTTTATTATTCTGATCACAGATCCTTACTGTTCACCCTCTTTAAGACAGATGTCTCTGCTTTTATCTCTATGACCAATGTAGAAGATGCCTCCTACACTTCATTCATGGTAGCTGCAGATTTTGTTATTCCAGACTAGCACACTAATAATTAGCTAGAGATTTCAAGTTACGTTCATCTGTGTAATACATACCGAAGTGTAATAGCTCGAGCAACTGGATCATTGCTATGAATTACTGAGAAAACTCTTTTCACAAACTCATCCACATTTAGGATCTTCTCTAAGTGCTTCTCGCTCTGCTGAGTAACTTTCAGCACACACAGCCTCAGGAAGTTGTTTCTAATAAAGACACACACATTTCTTTATCAGGCTGTTTTACAATAAAAATTCAAACACTTTAAACACAAAATTATTTAAAAAAAAACCTTCTGAGAGTTAATTAAAACAAGAAAAGGTCTATGCTTTAGAAATGGTATATTTAAGTAGACTGATATAGTTAAAGAGAGACTATTAACACACTACTGTTTTATCTTCTATTACAGGTAATGTCAAATTTAGGCTCAATTCCAGGGAAATGAACCTGTTGACACCAGTGAGAAGGAGTGTAAGCAGATGTCTGTTTTGTGCACACTCAGGAATCTAATTCTGTTAGAAAAAATGGCCAGGGCTAAGACAGAAAAGTCTAATTGCCTTGTCAGGTGTCAGTGAATTTCTTTTCCTTCCTGGGGCCAACAGTGAAGATTCTACAACAGAAACAGATAACTTTGTGAGCTATTAAAAAGGAGCTCTGATTTCATCACATGTATCATTTAGACATCAGGCACTTGGAAAAGCTATACTTTGGGCTTTGTTATTAACATTCCTTAGAGATGGAATTTGTACACATGTTCATTCATCTATTTATTAATATATGAATTTGAACATGCCTATGGAGCAGAATTTACACCAATAAACTTAAACTATTCAGTTAGCAAGTGAATCCTCAAATCAGGACCAATGGACAGGAACTGTGTCACTGATAACTCACAGCCACTTAAGCCCACTAAAGACAGGGAAAGCAAGCTTCAATCAAGCATAACTCATCCTCAGTTGAGTAGGCACCACTGTGGTATTATCATGCAAGGCAGAAAAACCCCACGACTGCCCAGGATCCAATGCAGCAGCACTCCAAGGTACAGTGCAGTACTACAGATCGGGGATTTGAATGGACAGAAAGTGACTGATGCTACTTACCCCACTCTGAAAACATCAGCTAGCTTTAGGAAAGCTGAATTAATGAGAATAGGGAAAGGATATTTCTGGAAGAGCCTGGGAAAACGAACGACAGCTTCGCATTGCTCCCCGAGTTTGCCAGACCTGAGGCCTAAACGAGAGAACAGTCATTACTGAGGAAAGCGATGCTCCTTCAAAATCTGCTCCTTCCCCCACCCCCCGCTAGCGGTAAAGCGGCACAAAAGAAAGCCCCCAGCCGCGGGGAACGAAGGACGGAACGAAGGACGGGACGGGACGGGACCGCCCCCCAGAGCACGGCGGCGGGCAGAGAGCGGGCAGCCCCAGGCCGGCGACAATCCCGAGCCCGCCCGGCCTCACCTTTATCCAGCT